AAAAAAAAAAAAAAAAAAAAAAAAAAGATTACGCGTTGTCCATCACGCTGCGCAAACGTGCTGTCATTGAAACGCAGCTGCGAGTGGCGAGAAACAGCCGAGAATCAGGGCCTCGCCACACCACTATCGAAATGTGAAAAAGACAAAAGTGTGGAGGGCGCATCTGGCCATAGTCTAGCGGAAAGTTCATTCTCATTTTGCACATTTCGAGAGTGTTGTGGCGATGCCCTCAACCTCGTCTATCTGGCAATCTGCCTGGGGACCAGGAGGGTACACAGATCTGACGCTTTTTTTTTAAGAGTCTTCGTGACGCAATAATGAGCTTTGCTACACTACTCTTGAAATGCACAAAAGACAAAAATCATGGCCGTGTATCTTTCCACATTCTAGTGGAAGATTCACTCTCCTTTTGCACATTTCGAGAGTACTGCAGCGAAGCCCAATGATCTTTGCTACACTACTCTACACTGTACAATTTTTTTTTGGAGAGAGTGTGTAGCTGTCAGACCGTCCAACGTAGAAAATTCGGCGTCGCCGCCGCACTACGGGCCTCGCCGCACCACAGTCGAAAGGCGGAAAATTCGACGGCTGTCAGAACAAATTCGACAGCCTCCATTCGACAGTTTGCCCCCCTTTAGCCACACAGCACTGTAGAGTGCACGACTCGTGAATGCAGGATGGAAAAAGACGAAAGGGCCAGAGGGTACGACAAGCATTAGTCCATCCCGACCTTACCCCCCCTCACCGAATTTCGAAGAGAAGTCGACGGTGCAGCCGAGGAGTGTCGAAAGCATGGGAGTAGCAGGTTGGGGATTCAACAACTTTCGACAGCTCCTGTCGAGAAGCATGCTCTGACAACTGGAGAATTTTTTTCCCGTCTCCGACTTCGACAGCCTGTGTGGCGAAGAGAAACTGTCGAAAATTGCATTTTCGACAGTGGTGCGGCGACGCCCCTACTCTCCAAACCCATTGTCTTGAAAACGTTGGAGAGCGGTCAGAACGCGCTAAGAGGCCGTTTTGGAGAGCAGTGAAACGGTTTTCACCTTTTAGCAGTAGCGGATGCAATACCCAGGGTTCGGTCCCTAGACCTCACCCTACCCATGTACAGTATCGGTGTAGACCCCGAGAATTGAACCTGTGACCTGTGCATTCGTAGGCAGTTGGTAGGCCTGTCGTAGGTCCATAGGCAGCAGGGGTTCGATCTGTAGGTCTATAGCGTAGGAGTCTTAGTGAGTTCCGGAAGCTTAACTGTAGACCTTCTAGAAGGTAGGCAAGTGGGCAAGTGGTCAAGTGGTGAGGCAAGTGGTGGACTAAACCGCAGTGCAACAGCAGTACAACGTCGGTAGGATAGCGGTGAGTCCACAGTCAGTCAGCGGAAGGTCCAGTCAGTCCCAGTCCGGTCCAGCAAGTACCACAGGGGGACTGTAAGCACCATGGGCCGATGGTAAAGGGCAGACCAACGAGTTTCTGAAGTTTAAATCAAGAGGCAGCGCCCAGCCATTCATTCATTCCTGCGTGAGCCATGCGGAAGCGCTGTGGAGGTCTGCAGATGAGCCCGGAGGACGCAGTGGGCAAGAGAGAGGGAGTTAGCATAGCAATAGGTTAGATGCAGCGATAGCTGCCATAGCTGTAGTTAGTAGTGAGTGTGTGTGTGTGTGTTCGAGTGGTAGAGTGATGCGTGTGGGATATCCAGGGTGATCCAATGTATGTGAACAGTGAGATGTTTGGGCACTGAAGTCGCCATGGCCAATTGAGAGTGAATTCGTATCTGAAAGCCATATCTCTGAGTTTTGAGTGGGCGCATGTCGCCAGTATGCTGCGTTGCTGTTTACATGCATGAAAAGTGTGTTTGAGAATGAGTCTGATTGCAGCAGTCCAAGGCGAACCCGATATCCGGCCCGAATTTCGAGAGTGTGCTGCGACGGACAAGCGTTTTGTGACGTTTGGCTCGAGAGAACTCTCGAACCGAGGCCTCGGCCCACCACTCACCACATGCACAAAGGACAAAAAATATGGCTGTGTATCTTTCCATGGTCTAGCAGAAGTTTCATTCTCATTTTGCACATTTGGTGAGTAGKGGAGCAAGGCCCTTGCACCGCCACACTGCACTCTCGAAAAACGCCGTTCTTTTCTGACACAGTGGAGAGCGCCCCCTTCGAGAGCGCAGTGCAGCGATGAGGCCTCTCGAACCGTTTTTCGTGATTTCCCGAGTTCGAGAGCACTCTCGAACATTTTCCCATTTTCGGGATAGGTGTGGCGAGGCCCCATTTCTCGATTTATGCATGTCATTCTTGCGCAGGGGCCATGCTAATCTTCTCTGTATCGT